TGCCTAAACCCGTTTTCAGATCGACCCTATCACAAAAACTGACGGCCTGACGGCTATTTCCCCCACTCCTTGCATTTCACAATGCTAGTATACTTAAGCACCAAAATTGACCCCGTGCCACGGCACGTGCAATAGCACGTGCGACACGTGACCACTAGTGCGACAAGCTGGACTCATCTGCTCACCGGCTGCACTGATTTGGTGTCGCTAGTTGAAGTCGTTTCCACGCCATAGGACCCCAAGTAGGCCAATGTCGGATTTTCCCGGATGTTACCCCATCAAACACGTTTGCACGTGGCACGTGCTTTTCAATCGCCCCATATCTGACCCATACCTTGTGGTAGCCGATACCCCGGGGCACAACATATTGGAACATTTTCAAAATCTAACGTGGAAATTTTTGACAAAATCGATTTGAAAATAATATTTCGAAATCGCCATAGGCTCAACATGGGGTAACTGTTTGTGACGATTACCCGAAATTTTGTCAATTATATTTTAAGTAATTACCACCGTCAGTTGGGGTGCCAGCCCGAGATCCGACCCTAAAAATATCAGCAAATATAATTGACGAAATTTTTCGCAAATCGCATTTTAATTTTTTCCCATGTTAACCCTATGGGAAAATGCACGTGCCGATTACCCCAAAACGGGCCATTATATGTCAAAACGAAGCATAACAACATGTTCTATGGTCGTTTCTCAACAGGTCCTGAAAGTTTAAACAAAATCGTATCATATAATTTTGTGCAATGAACGAATGAAAATGTCTCTGCAAAAACGCCCATTGACTTAACATGGGGAGCGAAAAAAGTTCAACTTTGACCTCGTGCAAAGGCACGTTACGAAATTCTGAGGGGTATACGGCGCACACTAGCGTGTACCCAAACATGTTTGCCATAAAATTCTAGGAAGAAAACCACCGCCTTCTTGGCTCGTTTTTCCGCCATTCGCGATCGCGCAAAAAGTGTCCAAAACCCCGTTGACTTAACATGGACGAAAATTGAAATGCACGTGCCACGTGCCACGAGGTTTTAAGCGAGTAGCGACCGGTGCCATCAGGTAGATCGCCTGCTGGAGCCCATACCCTGAAATTTTTACGAAGATTGAGCGATTCGTTTAGGCCCCGGTCAAGTTGTACTGATTCGCGGCCAGACTTGCAAAACATAGCCCGGAGAAGGACCGCTCCGGTTGTTTTTCAATAGAAAAACACAATTCTAACGAATAGTGTTTGTCTTTTCAAACAACCTGCGGTTACCAGCATCTGCGATGCTGGGCTCCGCATCGCGGGACCGCAGGTTGTTTGAGCAAGCACCTCTGTAACGCCGCAAAAACGCCACCCGCCAAACGAGAGGATGAGCCTTGCACGTGCAGACCGGAGTGGGCGTGCTAAAAACTGACGTGCACGGCACACTATTCGCCCGTCTAGAGCGGTGTGCAAAATTTGGGTGCAATCGGCCCGGCCGTTTTCGAGATCTTGAAGCGGCACCCTGCACGTGCGCACGTGCAAGCTGGGTCCCAACTGACTTGTGCACGGCACTCTATTCGCCGGTCTCTAGCGGTGTACCAAATTTAATCGCATTCGGCCCAGCTGTTTCCAAGATCTGGAAACGACCCCTACACGTGCGCACGTGCAGTTGTACCCCAACCGTGGCACATGAAAATACATACTTACTGACTTGTGCACGGCACCCTACTAACCAGTCTCTACATAGTGGTATGCCAAATTTGAGCACAGTCGGTCCAGCCGTTCTTGAGATATGGAAGCGTCAGCCTGCACGTGCGCACGTGCAAACTGGGCCCCATCTGACTTGTGCACGGCACCCTACTCGCCGATCCCTAACGGTGTGCCAAGTTTGATCACAATCGGCCCAGCCGTTCTCGAGATCTGGAAGCGTCACCCTGCCCGTGCGCACGTGCAGCGGCACCCCAACCGTGACACATGGAAATGCATTGCACGGCGGGTGCCTACATCCATGCCAAGTATCAGTGCAATCGGCAAACTAACTACAGAGTTATTAGACTTGTTACCGAACTGACACCTCTTCGTTTTGCACGTGGCACGTGCATTAGGGGTCACCCATACGTATCGAGGGTAGCACACTACGTGTGAGAAAGGAAGAAGCTATCCCACGCAAAAGACCGCAAGTGAATCGGTCAAGCGGTTGTGGAGATATAAGCTTTGCAAAGGCGCCCCCAGGGCGGCCGACTGCCAATAATTAGCAATAATCAGCGTCGCGTCCGCACATGGGAGGTGTCCCCTTCACCTGTTCGTATACTCTAATGTGGTTGGGTTCAAGTCACAGTCGAGCCCTGATTTTTTACAGCTTTTCTTAAAAACGGCACATCGTGCAGTGACGTTCTATGCACCAGTGGAAAGAGCATCAGAAGTTGTATATTATATTAACTTTTCACCTATATGTCTTACTAAAGATAAAAGTTATAGAGGAATAAAGACGCTCCCATTGACTTTCCATGCTAAAAATTTTCATTTTCCAACGAACTTTATTAGAAAAAACGATTTCTGCCAGCTTAACGAAGCATACCAGCATGTACTACGCTCTTTCCTGTACAAGCTATAAGAGTTTGGGCAAATTCTATCTCTAAAATTTTGTACAATGAACGAATGAAAATGTCTCTGCAAAGTCTCGGCATCGCCGTCCATTGACTTAACATGGGACATAGCAAAATTCCAACTTTGATCTCGTGCAAAGACACGTTCCGAGATTCTGAGGGGTATACAGCGCACACTGGCGTGTACCCAAACGTGTTTGCCATAAAATGCTGGGAAGAAAACCACCTCTTCCTTGGCTCGTTTTCCCGCCATTGGCGATCGCGCAAAAAGTGTCCAAAACCCCGTTCACTTAACATGGGGAAAATGGAATCGCACGTGCCACGTGCCACGAGATTCTGGCGGGTATACAGCGCACACGGGCGTGTACCCAAACGTGTTTGCCATAAAATGCTGGGAAGAAAACCACCTCCTTCTTGGCTCGTTTCCCCGCTATTAGCGATCGCGCAAAAAGTGTCCAAAACCCCGTTCACTTAACATGGGGAAAATGGAATCGCACGTGCCACGCGCAAAAGACTTCTTAGCGAGTAGCGACCGGTGCCATCAGGTAGATCGCCTCCGGGAGCCCATACCCTGAACTTTTTACGAAGATTGAGCGATTCGTCTAGGCCCCGCTCAAGTTGCCCCAATTCGCGGCCAGACTTGCAAAACATAGCCCGGACAACGACCGCTCCGGTTGTTTTTCAATAGAAAAACACAATTCTAACGAATAGTGTTTGTCTTTTCAAACAACCTGCGGTTATGGCAGCACAGACACCAAACGGCACATCACCACACGACGCGGCTGTCGTTCTGTCCCTGTCCCGACCGACGGCTAAACCATCACACCTCACCCCACCGGCCTCGGATCCCACCACCCACCGATCACAGCTTCAGTCCATCTGGCGCACAGGTCAGACCCCGACCCTCGCCGGGGGTCGACAGAAGCAGCACGCGCCACCCGCGCACCTACACGGGACGGTAGCCGAAACCATACCGACCGACCGGTGATTCATATACGCGACTGCATGTATTCTGCGGGCTATAAATGAGGCAATTCCAGCCCTGTCCCAGTGGGCTGGAGGAGGATTGGTATTCCAAACATTTACAAACACCTTGAGGTTGTTAGGAAAATTCGACATTCGTTGTTATTCTCATTCTGCTGCCATCGTTTAGGGCTCAGAGACTAACAAGCACTTGGCTTTGGACTAAATTCCCGTAGGACCAGTCCCTTCAATCGAACAATCAGACAACAGAGGTCGTCCACAAATAATATTGACAGAAGCACCGCGCCCTACAGCGATAACAATCAAAGGCACGCAAATCACACACCAGGCAGTGCCATCCCGGAACCAAGGGCGCAAAGACATCACAATAGCACACTTCTTTGGAATGATATTTCTATAGAGGTACGATCTATAGGTTCAGTCAGGGTCCATCAGTACCGTTCCGGGTCTGTCGTCTCGATCGAACCACGCCTGTCAGCTGGAGCAATGTCTGTCAGCTCGGTTTATCATGGCCCGTAAGCTCTCACCAGACAGGAAAAAGTCGCGGCGGCAGCAGCCCGCACACTCACTCAGCAGAACCAAGAACACTCGCCGTATCGTAAGGACGGATAATGGCGGACAGAATGCGCAAATGAAGAATAACGGCGACTTAACTGCACAGGGCTCCGACTGCTAAGGCGGGGTGGGCGAAAATGCGAGACGGCTTGTTCCTGTTCCAGAAATATGATCCAGACTCATAAGTTGCATAATGCATATCAGGAAGCATTCGATATCGTTGGTTGGCTAATGAAGCAACAAGCATGATGCAACTGAACATGAGGATAGCAGACCCACCGCAATCAGCATGTTTCTACAAATGCATGGTTTAACTTTTTACCAGCGCATAGTTATATTGGCAGCCCTGCCACTGTCACAAGCCTCAGGTAAAGCTAGCAATTTGATAGAGGACCAACATTCAATTTAACCCCCGGTAGTTCTGGAAAGGTACTGCTCCATTTGGTAAATCCGCTAATGCCCAGACTCCAATTCCCTTATCCCAATAATTGTACACACTGTGCGCTCATAGAGGGATTCTGCACTGTCACTGTGACCAAGCTCCTAACCGTCCTTCTGAGGGACAGAGGAAGGGAGGACCGGACAGAGGACAGACGAGACAAACACCCCAGTCGTTGTAACCATGGCGACCGAGTAGCGTCGTATCCATGGCAACAGGCACCGCAGCGGCGAACTGGTCACTGCGCCGCCCGGCGTTGGATTATCGACTGATGGCCACCAGTGGGTCTGCGCCACACAGTGGCGTGGAGGGCCGCGGCTGACTAGAACTTTGGTAAGAGAAGCACAGCCAAAGACAATGGCGTACACATCAAGCTAAGCAGAATGACTGAACAACTACCGAATGGACTGTCTTAAGCCTTGACACGGATCATCCTCTGATTTAGTGAAACGATGGGCTGATGATGCCTATTTTGTACCAGAAGAAGAAAATTACGGAGTTTCGGCATTCACCCCATAAACTCAATGGAACGATTCGGGAACAGGTAACCACTCAGTAAAAATAAAATGCAAAGCAAATTGACTAGATCTATCTTACTTACGAGAGAAAAACTGAAACTGGCCTACATGAAAAATCCACCGCAGCTTAGACCCACAAAAATAATACACTTCGATCCCACGAATCCCTGATAAAAACACAGTTGTTGCATTTTATCAACGGCATACCTAGACAGGTCCTGACCAATAACAAGTAACCTGGTCTGAATTGACAAACCAGCACACAACTACAGACCACACTATGGCGACATAGCGACTCCTCGCCGAATTCTTACTGCCGCTCTCAGACCCAGAAGACTAACCAAAACTGGCTAATAGATAAAATGAACGGATATGGCATATGCAAGTACATGGACTTAACAAAAATGCACTCGAATGAAACACTTAAAATGCACTCTGCGAGCAATTACGTCCACTCATCCTTTGATCAGAGACGCACTACTCGCTCCACACAAACGCAATACCTACAGACCACTGGCAAGAGAGCAATGAGTGGATAAAACTTCAGCCTAACAAAGGTGCCAGGATCCGCGAGCCCCGGACTGGAAGCCACAACAATTGGCGACAGCATGATGATGACAATGACGAACGGCGAGATGCGGTGACGTCGGCGGCGTCCTAGGACGTCTTTTTCTGCGACTGTTTCATGCGCTGTTCGCGGCGCCGCTCGGCGTCGGTCACCTGCGCCGGCCGCAGCTCGCGGAACTGGCGCTGGGGGCGGGCGAGAGCGTCAGTCACAGGTCAGCCACAGGTCTCAGACACAGCCGGACACAGGTCAGTCACAAGTCGGTCACCTGCGCCGGCCGCAGCTCGCGGAACTGGCGCTGGGGGTGGGCGGGAGGGTGGGGAGCGTCAGTCACATGTCAGTTACAGGTCTCAGTCACAGCCGGACACAGGTCAGTCACAAGTCGGTCACAGGTTAGTAGCACGTCAGTCACAGGTCTGACGTAGATGAGACATAGCTCGCACACAGGTCAGTTACAGGTCAGTTACAGTTAAAGACGGGTGCAATTCTAACCACAACTAAAATTGCACCTCTTCTTTGCATGTTTTTATTATCTTACTTGTCTTTAAAGGCAAGGGAAATTTATTGTCCAGGAGTTAAAGGCTTTACAAAACTTGATGGTTGCTAGAAGTTGGTCGATTTAACCAGTAAAAAACAACAAATCGTATACAGGCATTAACAATGTCATGCATTTCACTTCGCCGATGGAAGTAGAAGTGAAACAATAGCATTGTCCTACTCTCACTCCGCTCGGCGTTTGCCGGGCTGTGTGTCTCCGAGGAGCCATTTCTGTCACTCAGACAGTGATATCGATCACTAGCACGGCTCGGAGTGGCACCCTGCGGCTATTGTTCGGTGTTGGGGCGGCAGCCGAGCGTGGCTGATGCGCTCGCTCGGGTAGCTCAGGAATCAGCGCGAAACGGAAACGAAATGGAAACGGAGGTCATAGTAGACGGGTCCAACAATCTAGCGCCACCTACCGACTATACTCGCAAGTTACGATTCACGCTGTGGCGTTTTGAGGTGCATTGAAGGGATGGCAATATTAGCTGATGGCGTATTGCAACGACATTATCAACTGATGTTTAACAAACTTAGTGGTCGCATCAGTAGTCAACACCTAAACAGATTTTTCTTCCGTCTCCCCAGGCTGACCATCGCTAACGGCCCTCATCTGGGCCCATCCCTGCCTACACTTTCTGCCGAAACTCCTACCGACACCACTGCCTCCCAGCCGACACCCTTGTCTGCGCTCCTTGCCTACACCCCTGCCGGCTCCCTCCGAACCCGTCTCCTCACCAGCTGATCGTTATCGGGCACACGCGAGAGGAAGTCGAGCAGTTCGTTGTTGGGGATGGCGTTGGGACGCAGCAGCTTCTTGGAGAACTTGTGCACGCCGAACAGCATGACCAGGTAGCGGATGGGTACGTTGTAGAGCACGACGGCCACCACGGAGAGCACCAGCACGGCCAGCCACGAGAGGAACGGCACCGTGAAGTTGAACGTGCTGAAACACACCGCGGGCGTGACGCAGCCGTGAGGCGAGGGGAGATGCTGAAGCAATCAGCGGTCGTCGCGGAGCCGTGACGCATGAGGTGGTGCAAGGTGCTGAAGCATATAGCGGTCGCGACGAAGACGTGAGGCAGGGGAGGTGAGGTGGGTGAGGGCAGTGAACGACACGGAGGTTAATTGTAATGACAGGATGCTGGGATATTAGAGGCGGCGGGATGTGGGTGGTCGGGGCGATATGAGGCGAAAAAGGAGAGGAAGGAGGGATGAAGGAGAACGATAATATATGTATGGTAATCCATCAATGGCTACCAGACATTACAGGAGCAAACATCGATCATACAAATGGATATTCCAGCCCGATCCGTCAAACTCTTATTGTTCTAACATAATTCATCAGCCTGCCTATCCACAAAAGCTTCCGTCACATTTGAATACTATCTCATTTTAGTGTTATTCCATGCATCAGGCCAGCCACAGCCACCGATGAGCACCACACTGGGCCGCCCAACCACAGGGGGCAGTGCGGTCGGTTCTGAGCGGCACCCACTTTTGGACACACTCGCCGAGCGAGGCGATGTAGCCGAGGATGTTCTGTACCATGGCCGTCACCTCCTGAACCGCCATCAGCTTCTCCTTCAACGACTTCTTCTCGTCCTGCAGCGACATCAGGGGTCGTGGCAGTCAGCCAGGGAAGGTTGTTAAACATGGGGACCGAGTATCATGTCAGCAGATATCTTTGGAAATGAAACGAGCAGTTGTAATGAACGTTGCTTGGACGGGGCTCAACAAATCGCCAGCGCGACATCATGGTAGTAATTCGTCAGCGCGGGAAGTAAAGATGACTGGGAATGTCTATGGGTCATCAAGATAAAATAGATCCGCACTTTTGACCTTCTGTGGCTGTACTTCCCTACGCAACTGAAAGATCATATTTTCCCTGTACTAAGACCCAGAAAAACATGCATCGAAAACGTTGAAGGATAAAACTCGTATAGATTTCTTGAATGCATGCACAGCCTTCAAAATGCTTCATACTCGTAAAACAAAGTCATTGGTAACATAAATAACAGTAAATTATATCATGAAAATTGATAGGGAAGTCACTATACCCTACTTGTATTCCCAGGATTATGTTGACTAGATTCTAGTTATATTCTGGCATGTAGACATGAAATATATAACATGAAATATATGCTATTACCATATACTATCTATCTAATTTGTTTACTTCTAGTAGGTCTTACCGCACCCGATATAAGGGAATACTGCTAGCCTATTTATCGTTCAGTAAATGCATGTAGGCCCCTTTCAATGCTTTTACTGGCATATGCGGAGTAAAACAAAATGAAAATCACGGACAGTGTGTTTGCTAACGGGTCAACCACAGCACTGGCCCGTTCTTTGCATCTTCAAAAGCCAGGACTGAAGTTCCAATCGTTACAATAATAAGCGGCAACCCAAGGCAAAACAATCAGCATGCATCAAATGGAAACTGTGGGCAGCCAGCTACTGAACAGCCGCTGCGCGGGGCGCGGGCTGCAGAAAACGCCCCACCACCGTCCACCAAACCGGCCAGTCCCGGCGCCGAGCGGCAGCCAGTCCGCTGGGAAACTGTCAGACCAAACGCTACTCACATCTCCCGAACTCTTCTTGTCTTTGGCCTGTGGACACAGCGGCACATGAAAGGACTGCCTGGATAGCCGCAGTGAGAGCTCACCTTGCAACCATGATACAAGCTCACCTTGCAACCTTGCTCACCAACAACCGTGATACGAGAGGTGAGGTGAGGGTCACACAGACATGCCGTACCGTCTACCAAAAACGCTCAGACATTTAGTCAAATAGCACAGAAAACAGACATCGATTAGTGGTGAAATCCGGTGCTCTGTGGCAGGATAGAGGGGTGGGCGGAGATTAGTGCACATTCAGCTGACAGGTGAAGTGCGTTAGTCACTCAGTGGCGCGCAAAAGGAATACAAGGCTCAGCCGATACATTGAGACAACTACATACAACGCGAGGGAGGATGGCCTGTCGAGGCGGTGCCACACACCTTATCCTTGTCGTCATCTTCATCGTCGTCGTCGGCCACGTAGTCGTCGTCGTCGGCGCTGCGGAACCCGGCGGTGACCAGATTCACCTGAGGAGCACGTCAGCATGTGGTTACAGTCGGCAGCGAGCCAGCACGGGTACAAGGGCGCCCTCAATGATAGGCTGGGATCGGTAGTGCTGCTAAATAGCTGTTCTCAGAATAGGGCGCAGCTTTTGAATGTCGGTTGAAAGGTTACTGAAACTCGGTGACCGAATTACTTTCGCATTGCTTATTGCTTCATAAGCTAGTACGGCTCGGATAAATACATCTGACAACCACCACACAGTAAAAGCCGAGCAGACAACAGCAGAAGTGACCAACGACCCACTGCCATGCTCCTGAGCCCTAGACCACTCACCACCCAGCCCTTGAAGAAGACGACCAGGAGTGCCACCGGAGCCATATACAGCTCGAACGAGTATGCGCCCAGCATGAAGGCGAAGAAGGCCGCTATCGTACGCGGCTTCGATTCCCAGTCGAAAATACTCCTGTGTACAAGCGAATGGGGCTGGTGTGAGTGGGTAAGCATGGTGCATTCGTTTGATATTCAGACACAGCAGATGCCCAGAGGAGTTTGGTCAGTTGGCTAGTGGCTTTTGAGGAAGTAGCACTGGAGCCATAGTTAGGTCCAGGGTGGCGCCAGTATCTCATCATCCATTGAGGCGGGAAAGTGACGTTTCCGTCAACAGACAATATAAACAAACACAAGTCAAAAGTAATGTAAGTACGTAAAAATGAGAAGCATTTGAGCATCAACGCATGGTCTATGTGAGTGGACATGACATCTGTACGACTTAGTTGTTATGCATATTCACACAGAGTTCAGCGTCAGTGAACTTTTGCTGTGTGATCAGTGAACTGACTTGATGAACTTTGCCCCTTCGGCGAAGCCGGCGCCCATCTCTTTGAGCCGGTTGACATTTCTGATGAAGACTGCCCTCTTGAACTTGAGTTCTGGCCTGGTATACTTCTCTTCGCGCGGATTGAACGTGCGAATCGCTGCCCGTGCCTGAAGGTAAATAGATGATGTCAACAAAATATAACATCAACAGAAGCAACTAACCAGTGACGACGACACAATGAAACAAAACAGCCACATCATTGATGAAAAATGGCAGGAAATTAGGAACACCAAGACCATGAGGTAACAACGTTGACGTACGAGCGTTGTGCAAGTCGTGGTCCAGTGAAAGCCAACCAAAAAAGCAAGGAGTGTTCAGTGTATATCGCAGTTTCGAGACATTCCACAAAAATATACACGTAAAGAAACTGCGGAAGACAGCGACCATATAGGTATACTGTACAGGATAACAGGTTTCCTGAATTCCTGTAATCAGTGAGACACACAGTTTGACCAACCACTTTCTAGTGTTATATAGCAACAGTCACATTGACAATTATCAGAAGTATTCTGAGACTTATCTGAGTTATCTTCCTGAAATAACGAACAACGCAATATACTTATAACCACAGATTCTCTCCGGAGAAAAACAAATCACCACATGAGGAGGTTCGATCGCGCGCTGCTGGCGTACAAACACCCTCAGCCGGGCCGCACCGAGTCTGTTATCTGCTCTTTGGAGGGGCACTCCATCACGACCTGTCAATACTCCAGGATCGGGTGTTTTGTTTGTGGAATCCACTTTTGGAGGGCAGGATAAACGGCTACGGCGAGCCACGCTAACCCTCGGTATAGATTATCGGACCGCGGCGGTCGACCGCTCCTTTCTCTGCGATGAAAATAAGGCTCTCGCTACTTGGCTTCCTCCCTATCATCTCCACCCACTTAGGAAAAGTGATATTGATTTCCAGGATGCATAATTTATGCAGACATGCTCAGTACGAACGATGAACGGTAATAGCTGCGATGAACTACGATATGACATTATGAACTGAGACGTTCCCGCTGTCAGCGAACCTATTTCCGTATACGCTTTCTAAGATAGCGCGGCTGTGCCAGCCATCACATCACACCATGCGGCTCAAGCCGGGATAAAGCGCAGCGAATGGTGGACCGGGAAGCTCTATCAAAGTTCAGCAGGCAGGCAGCTTAAACCGATTATATCCAACGACTCGAGCTGCGGTCTGTCTGAAATAATTATGAGTGCCAAATGGAGAATATGTCAAATGGAGGTGTTATTTTCCTTTGTGGAAATAAAGGCATACCCGCCTAATGCAAGAACTAGTGAATCAACAGTTAAGATAAGTCTATTCAAAATTATGCATTCCTACAAAAGTAGTAAGCGACATTTAGTTATTGCAGTTCTTCTTTCACAAAAGACATTCAAGGATTGCCTTACAGATGGTAACAGGCATAAATAGTTATGAGCTAAGCAATAGCCAATAGCATACGAAAAAGGACGGTGTGCGCAACAGACACAGTCACGATTATGCCAATATGTACTGCTCCGTGCTTACCGGGTTCCAGACTAAGTCCATTTCCTCAGTGCTTACCGGGTTCCAGACTAAGTCCATTTCCAGCATCACTTGAGGGTTGTTGCCCTTAGCTCTGCCCAGCAGCTTTTTGTCCTTGAGCGCGTACCATCGTCTCTCTCCGGGTCGGATCTGAGGAGGAGACACATATCGCCCGTGGTGGGATTTGAGCTGCTCCGACCGGTCCGATACAGACAGAGCGATGGCCCCCTATCGGACAAATGGACCGGCAACAGGCAGCGCGAGCTCTGCAGATATACTGTAAACTAGCGGTTCGGTTTGACACTTTGGCAGCTCCGTAAATCAACAGAAAAATGTTACATGCGGGAGTCACAGCAATCTAGCACAGCCTAATCTTTAGCAGAGGGACTAATACTTTTACGAGGAATTCGACACGTCTTTACCTTATGTCGAGACATACACTACCTATATAATTTAAGAAGCTCGATTGGTCTTTACCTTTAGCAGAGGGATGGACACTTTTCCGAGGAACTCGACCTTGTGGTCCTTGTCCTCGTCATACACAGTCACTTCCAGCACGCTGTGGATGTCCTTCACGTTGCTGCAAAAGATCAGCACACGTCACCGATTTATGATCGTCGTCTAACATTGTTACTCTCGGTCTCACCGTTGATTCAGTCTTAGCACGATCAATTGTTTTCTCGGACAAATCCTAAAGAAGTTTTATCGCAGTCTTTCCAGGTAAAATCATGCTACAAATGTCTTATATTGGGCCAGTTAGCTCATAGCCCACACACTAGCACCGCGGACTTTCTAGGATTACGATAAAGAGCCAGCGGCTGTTTGCGAACATCAAATGTCCACACACACCCCATAACTGACAGAACACGACTCACAAGAAGAATATCTTATTCCACTGCGGCGACAGGGTCTTGTACTCTGTCTGCGTCTGTAGACGCGAGTTGACCAGCTCCAACACGCAGAACGGGTCCGACTTGCCGCCAATGTCGGCCGACGCCAGACCCATGGCCTTGAACACCTTCACCGTGAGGTGGCCAACTTCCTTCACCTGCTTCAGCGTGTTCCGCAGGTTCTGTAACAGCGGAAACAGTGCAACGTCAGGTGGGAACTTCCAAACGGGAGAGTAGAGAGCTTCATTTTACTGCGAGCCGCTGCGCTTACCCGACTGACAAGAATGGGAGCATTTTCAAGTTCCATGTAAGTGTGAATGTGACTCGCATATTGATAAGCCAGATCAAACAAACGAAGGACGAACTGTCAAATGTCATGAACCGTCCGAATACAAAATGCATGTCTCAGGGAGTCTCGTTGCATTCTAAATAACCCAGTGTTTCAATTAAAACCCACTTAATCTCCCCAGCCCAGCCGTGAGCGTCATTAAATTACAGCAGATCGTCTCTGCCGAGTCAGGTCGTCTCTATACGACACCCCCAGCATCCCATAAAAACCCGAAACGGCCGACACCGGGAAATGTCACCGGGAGTCTGTCTGTCGCCACGACCGACTCTCGGGGGCGCGGGTGCCGGTCAGGTCAGTCCAATATGACCTCTGGCGCCCCCGGGGGCCGCACCGACCGACCACGTCCCGCCGTGTGACACCGGCCACCGGTGCCGGTCCCTGGGGCCGTGCCGCGGCTCGGCGACGGTGGTGTGACATATTCGCCAGCTGGCTTACCCCGCGGCGCTAGCGGGGCGGCAAATATCGCTCCGGTGGTACACTTCCAGGAAATTGCGGGGTACTTTCACGGCTGTATGAAATGTCACAGCCTGGATAAATTTCAACCACTACCCAAAGTGAAATGGTAAGCGACCGCCGGAAATTTAGTCTCTCCGCTCTCAAGTAACGCCTGCAAAAATATGTCCCAAATTAAACTTAGTAGTAATCCACATAAGTTCCTCCTGCATAAATCATTTCCACCCCTCGCGATGCTAGATCCCTTACACCATCTCTCCCTCTCCCTATCCCTCTCCCTATCCCCCTCCTTCCTCTCGCTCTGTGTTCGCTCACAAACTGTTTTCGGATGGTGTCCACTTGCTCGGGGTCCTCCTGGTAGGTGAGCAGGTCCGAGATGGTCTCCACGTTGGTCATGCCGGACACGGTCAGCAGGATGAACACGGAGCCGGCGCCGTCCTCCAGCTCACACCACAGACGGTGCGTCTTCTCACGCTCCAGCTTCGATATGTCCACCGTCGTCCTGCGGGTGATATCAAAGGGAAGATCACACATAGTTTACAAGGCAAGGGCGAACGTTTTTCTTTTCTTACAATCAAGACGCATTAAAAGAAAGGAAACTCGTGAATTACATATTGTCTCAGTACGAGCCAGTGCTAAGATTGCATAGTTCATTTTTATACTCGCTGGACTCAGATTTCATTAAAATTATAAATGTGCTGTCCTGAACTCCATTAGCATCCAAATATATGCATACAAACTCTACTAACCAAATCAATCCTTTTGAAAACGGAGTCTCCCCAGTTTCCAGCATCCCACCCAGACTTCTCACCGTCTCCCTGACTCCCGACCCTTCCCTCCCTGCCGCATGACACCCCAGCCCGTTCAGACCTCCCTCCCTCCCTCCTTCCCTCCCCCCCCCCTATACAATCCCCAGCCAGACAAACCAGACCAGACTACTCACTTTCCCATGAAATCATCCTTGCTGCGCGCGTCGTGGTCGAACACCTCGATCTCAAGGATCTGCGAGCCGCTGTCGAACAGGTGCATGTCGAACTGCTCCAGCCAGCGCGGTGTCAGCGTGCGGTCCTGCACCTTGCTCTTGTACTTCTCGGCACCCAGCCTGTCCGATGGGGAGGGGTAGGGGTAGGGGACGGGGGGGGGTCAGCACGCATACCGGAGGTCATCAGACTAGTACGCTAAGGCCGAGGATTAATTTGCTAATTAGATGGACCTGTAATGGGAAGGGCTACATGCAGGCTAATGTAATGATACCACCCGAGGCTCCTTCTGTTAATTATGTAGCTTCGTCGTGGAAGGGCTGTGCCCTGTACAGTTGCTGTATGCCGCTATGTTTATGTAAGATTTTCTTTAGGCCCAGAATGTCTCTGTTTTATGATAGGTTATATAAACAAAAAAGCATAGCTTCGTTGCGAAATTGCACGCTCATTACAATTCGTACCTGAGTTTGACGTAAGGGTCACTGGTCCCCTCCGAGTCCATCGCCATGAGATCCTTGGCCTCCACCAGCACTATGGTGACGACGCTGCTCCACTGCTGGTTCTTCAGCTTCTTCGAGTCTGTGCTCCTGGAGCCCGCCCCGGCCAGCTGGGGGGGGGGGGGGACCACATAGTTACGGACACCGCGCCACAAGGATGGTTCACCAACCAAACAACAAACAAAACATATGTTCCTATACTGAGACTCAGCAATCAAAGACGGGTGGTCGATATTTGAATGGCAGGTCAGGTTACGGCGGCGTGGTCCACCTTTCGAGAAGAGGGTACGCTAAAAACAGCCACCCACAGTCCCAGCCGCGTGACATATCGCCCAGGCAGCAGGCAACAAAAGTACATGAGTGACCAAAGGTCGGGTATGATACATCTGGGGCGGGTTACTCTAAATTCATCTCCTGCGTTATCCATAAGTAGCTGTTTGTTTGACTTGGTTGGGTTGGCCTAGAGCCCTGTGCCCTGTATCATAGTGGCACTGTGAATTGACACGGGACCGGCAAAGGGGCTCAAGTGATAGTCATATGCTGGGGCCCAATGCAGCTGTGAACAGGCCCCAAAACTCAAGCTTCAATGCTGCACAATGACGGTGAGCTCGCGGGGAGGCTGAACGAAACAGCATGCCCCATCGCCCTGCGCAATAGCTTATTTTCCCGTGGCCATCGGCATCGTATGCTGCTGCGGCAGCTACCCAAAGCTATTCCATTTAAGTTCAGTGCCGTGAAAACTGTATTTACATCGTGTTTCACTGCAGTGCGAGGGTTTTCTGGTGCCAATCAGTGCAATAAATTTCATACTAGCCATCTGCCAACGCGCACAAAGATAAGCATTGCTCTTCACAATAAGATACGATCGCATCTATAGAACACTCAAGCCCAGTGAGCATTGCGAGCGTGCAAAGAAATCCCGTCCCCGAAATTAATTGCGTGTTATTTACTGCATTGTGATTTTATTCGCAATCTGACATGCGTGTTTCAGGCAGAGTACATTTTAAAGCAGCTGATTAGTTTGGTTGAAGCCCGTTCGTTATTATTTCATAGCCCAGAAGCGCTATCAGGGTCCAGAAGACATGCTCGTGGTTATATAAATGAATGCTGGCTTGCCTTAGTGACACAATCTGTCGGCGTGAAGCTATGCCTGCGTAGCCAGTCCCTGATACCAGCAGGATCCGGCGTCTGGCGCAGCGATGACGCCGTCAGAAACATTATCTTAATTATTTCAAAAGCTTCAGCGTACATTCAGTAATCAGTTATGACAAAAAAACAATGATCGATCATGGTTATGGAATCAAAGTGCTTGGAAAATCACATATCTATTTCAGACCAAGACGTCATGCAATTAAAGGAAAAAAGACATAGGCTCAGAGCGTTGATAAAAGATGATGAAGGATACGATATAAAACGCCTTGGGTAAAAATTAACAATAAGTATACCTAATAATCTAAAACAGTGCAAACTTTCGGAGGTGCATTCCTAATGACACCTTTGGAGATAATTCAAGTCTAGCAAACCGGATCAATCATTTGTCTGTGACACCTGCGGTATTATCCCCAACGATGTCTAATGAGTGTAATTTCGATGTTCAAGATACTAATTGTCTGAATACACGCCAGAGTCAGAGGTGGTCACTTAAGGGTGTTCCACTGCACACATCCTCCAAGAAGGCATTTAGCTGTAGTCGGATTGCTTGGTGTGAATAACTTTGTAGCTTTTGCTTATATAAAAATATTATCAACTGCGATTTCCACACACATCTGGATGGTTGCTGAGCATCAACTATTGCGTAGCTGGTACAATTAGATGCGTGATAATAAATTCATATAATAGCTCTGAACGTTCCATATAAAAAACACTACAGTGAATATAGCGTCCACATCCTTTTACCACAGTAACGTCCACATCCTTTTTTTGTGAGAACTGACCATGAACTGGCTATCTATCCATGCCCTTCCCGGAACAAGGCAACGACCTCTTCCTGCCCACAGGAGTATTAAAAGTAAGGTTGGCACCATTATCTGTCCACCCTTCCTTCCTGGCATTGATAGTTCGGTATTGTACCTTCTTCCTACGCATATTTCAATGCATTTACATAACACCATAGACATCTGCATACCGCGGTATGCAGAGGTCCACAATCATTCAGTAACATTAGCAAAACCAGAGTTGACAGAAAACAGACAGTAACTGAAGAACAGAGGCATGTCATAGCTCATGTCACGGCATAGTTAGAATGTCCAAATGTCATAATTAGTCCAAATCAGGCTTATCCTCCGAATACAATCAACTGCGAACCGTTACACGACCACGCCTTGTGTGAGCCTCCCTGTCCCGGTTTTACGTCAAAGCATAACTGACCTGCTCCCGTTCCTCTTTGGATTTTGGCACCAGGTTGGCAGCCAGTGTGATGCTTCCCTGCTCGCCCGACTTGGCAGAGTCGGACAGGTTCAATGTCATCTCCTGCTCTCTGAAAACAGGAGGAGAACAGCGCTGGTAAAATAATATACTTCTTAACCCTCGCCGGACCTATTGGTTTTCTACATACGCGCCGGCCGAGGGGGGGGGGGGCGGGTACGACCCCCCCTCGCCGTTTCGCCCCTGGTGGAGCTAGCGCGTCGCGGAAAAAACGAGCGTGTGCGCCGTTACGAGACGCAGAGATTGGTACCCGATTTTAAGGTCCTAGGTCAACCGGTGACCTCTGAGGTCAGGTCAAGTGCCCCAGGGTACGGTTCAGTTTTTGGTGAATAACTTCGCCAAAAAACGGCCGCAGAGCGCCGATTTTGGCAGCATCGTGTTCGCCTCGCTCAGGCGCGTCGAATGATATACTTTTTGTCCGGGTCAGGTCAACTTGGGGTGTTGACCTCAGGTCAAGGTCAGGTCAGCACCCCCAGGTCACGAAGTTGGTCGAAAGAGGTCATGTCGCATATCATTCGATTCGGCAGGCCTTCCTGAGTCCATTGGTGCCTTTCCCGACTCGCTAGCTCAATTTGAACAAGAGTTTTTGACGAAAAACTAATTTGACCTTGATGACGTCATAAATGACGTCACGCAAGGTCAACATTGCAAAAGTGACGCATCTAACCTTGCAAGGAGTGCATCAAATCACGATTCTGTGTGCTTGAGATAGTTGGAGATCGTTCCCGGCGCCAGAATAGCAGTTTGAATTTTTCCCCATTGACTTATAATGGTGAGGTCACGAAAATGACCTGACCTCATATGACCTTTAGGAAAAATCCGAGATATACAAGTTGTGGGACGCATAATGGATATTAGATCCTGCAAGTTTCATTTCCCTGTGACATCTCCTCTGGCAGTGAGGGCGTTGCGAAGTTGCGACATCTGAAGACCGTGCAGAGGTTCACTTATGACGTCATAGGTCAGTGACCTGACCTGACCCAAAAATGCGGTTGGTGTCAAAAGATCCGGCTTGGATCAAAGGTCAGGTATGCCAAGTTTCAGCTCTCTATCGCCAGCGTGTTCGGAGCTATCGCGAAAAAACCCTATGGGGGGGCGGCACCCGCCCCCCCCCCCGGCCGGCGAGGGTTAAGAGCGATTATAGTAGTTTAATTGTTTGCAGCAAACATATTGGATTGGTCCATCAGGCAGCGCAGGTAGTAATATGTAGATTTCAAATAATAACAATCTATAAATCATAATACTTTTCTCTGCAGAAAAATCGTCTCATGTTATAGGAATATTTCCTAAAATATTATTACGAAATCGAGGTTTAGGGATAGCTGTTATAAAACATCTAGATCCCATGTAAACGTAATCGGAACATGCAAATGTAAACACTAATCGGCTAACTTAGGGATAATTATCGGCGAACGCTACTGCTAGGTTCAAAGGTACTGAGGTCCCGCTCCGCCTCATCGAATCGACGTTATCGATGGAGGCTGCTCACCTGTTGGGTTCCAGGGTACTGAGGTCTAGCTCCGCCTCGCCCATAAAGTCGTCGTTCATGCCCCAGTCATGGTCGTACACCTGGCGAATTATTGGGAACATCAGGTCATGTATAGTCAAACGATAACGGCTGACTTCGTAAGAAATTAGGCTGTACAATCCTAGTGCATCTTGGTGTCAAAAAGTTTTGAAAATACTAATAAAACTACGGTACATTTTCAATTTTACCGAGACACAACTCAGCCAAGGTGACGGCACAATCCTGGCCGTCACCTTGCTCCAAACTGTGCTCCAAACATCTGTACAAGTTTCAACATCAACAATCAAACGTTAAAAACGAGTCACGAACTGCGACCTATCCTTGTCACCTCCGGGCACCGACCTTGATCTGCAGCGGCACGTAGGGGTCGTCGATCGGAATCTGAAACCACTCGTCCCAGAGAGGGTTCAGCGTCTTGTAGACGATCTTCGACTTGCAGACCACCTTGCCACCGAGCTTAAATTTGACATACGGGTCGCTGGTCCCTGAAAAAAAACGTCCAAAACAATAAAATGCTTTGTCACGGATCATAAAAAGTCATGCAATTAGTGCAGCAAAAATAGCTCATTAAAAAAACTTCAAAGCTGTAGTACAATAAGACTATTATGCTTCTGAATATGATTTTTGTCGTATGGGTGACCGGCGTCAGTGACCGGGAGAGCTGCCACCAGTGAGAAGAGATGTTGACGTCAGTGAACAGCTAACGATGCTGTGTGCCAATGGACTCGATCACCTCACCAGGCTCGTGGCGGTGTTGCTCCCATGTTTTGAGTCTGGCCATTGTCGCGAAAAATAGAAAACGTGTCTAAAACCCCAAATAACACACCAGTCCATTCAGTGATGTAAATCAAAGAGGGGCACGGGACTTCTGTGAAACCGTTAAAGCCGTCGTGAGTGCGTTTTGCCGCGGGCTGACTGGCAGAACTGTGTTATGTTGCGTTGCTATGCGCGGACTTGCTGAGTTGTTGTGTTGTGTGTTGTCTTGTGTTGTTGTGTTGCAGGCGGTCTGACCGAGCTATATTGTGTTGTACGAGTATTACAGGCCAACCCAACCCGGTCAACGCACGTGGTGAGCTTTGCGCTGTATTCTGGTGAAGGCGGACTGGGCGCGTGGGCCGGCGAGTCTGACCACTGCACTAGTTCAGACGGCCTTGCCAACCCACCCCGGACTGGTCCGCCCGGTCGGACAGCAACTCGACACTACACTGTAAAAAATGCTAACAAACCAGTTAGTTAATTCTTCAAGCAAAATCTAGTATTAAAACACACGTTGTTGCAAAAAACGGGTCAGATAACACATATGTTTGCAACCTAACACCACATCCATTTCATCGAAGCAGAAAAGCTAACATCATTGTAAGCCGACAAATATTATCCGTGCAAACCATGCCGTGTTATTTGACAAACCTCTTTGTTTATGCTTCCTTTGCCTTTTTTCTGGGATAACGTGTTAACTAACACATCAAACGCATGTTGTAACTCACAATCTTAGTTTTCTTACTGCCCTTTTTGTTGTAGCATTACAAAGACCTTAGTTAATTGAAAAAATTCGCCATTTTGTGCGCCCCTCTGCGTCCGCCATGTTCAGTCTGTGCCAAGTCAGAGAAGGGAGAGGACGTGTGCGTTGTGAAGGAGCTGAGCTGTGGCGTATAAGTGTTGCGTGTGCAGTATATAATGAGCTGCTGTGGTGTTAAATACGAATAATAAGAAGTCAAACAGTGAAATGATATGGATTGTTGGACATGGCTTTCATCCTTACTGGTATGGTGAGTGATTATGGGAAAGATCAGTGCAGATATTGCTGGCGTTTTAGTGTGGTTTATGTACCTATGTCACTCATTTTCTTTTCAATTGAACCTCCAACCAGGCTTTAGAGGGTCTCAGGTTGGAGACACTGTTCATTTGTTGACTGTCAATTGACGTCTATAAGTATGTACATATAGACGGACTGAACAATGAGCATTTGCACACTAAAACCGCATTATGCTTTGAACAAGAAATTACCTAAATGTACCTAATTTTTGGTTGGGCACTCAACCAGTGAACGCGGTGAGGTGATGTTTTATGTAATTCCTGTCACTGCACCCATGTTGTCAAATAAAATTTTTGTAGACACATGAGCCACCATTGTTCGGTCAGGGAATTTTTGCCCTTTTGTTCAATTTAGTTTACCCATAGCGACAGAAATGAAGCATTCTCAATGTTTTCGTAATAGGTATTTGGAGCCTCTATGGTGTCATGGCTGGTGCGGATTCCTGCAGGCTATGTTGCAGGTGTGAATCAGTGCAGATTTGTCACCACGACCGGTGCAGATTACCGATTGATTTATGACGTTGGTTGGCATGAGGTTGGTTGCGTTGCTTTATTCGTTGGTTTGAATAAACATCTTTGTGTTTAAATACTCGTCTGTATGATACTTTTTTAAGATAAAAATTTCGACACGTGTCGCAACACGGTGTGTGAAAAACGCACAACATGTATATATACTGTAAAACATATTTGCTCGTTTCGAGTCATCCTGGCAAATCTCACTAACCAAATGCGTGTAAACTTTGTATTTACACACTGCATCCCGAAGTTTATTAACGCATTTGGCTAATGATATTTGCCTGGATAACATGTGCACGTTGTGCAAGTCTCGGCAGAAGCTTGTGAAGCTTACTCACATTTTGCGTGTAAGCGTGTTTTCTTCTGTGTGTGTTATGTAACACCGAAGTTAGTTATCCTGCAACTAGGCGATGCCATAGTTGCATGATAACTAACTTCGGTGTTACATAACACGCACAAAAGGAAACACACTTACACGCAAAATGCTAGTAAGCTTCACACGCTTTTGCCTAGTGAGATTTGCCAGGATAACTAACTTTTTAGTTACTTTACACGCATAATATTAGTACATTGACAGGTAGATATTAGTTACGTAACACGGTCACACGCAAAAGGCGTGTAGGTCAACACCACGTCGAAAACTAATGTCTTAGTTTCATAACACGTTTTTTCTTAAAAGCGTGTTATATAAAACACGTTTGGCCAGTAGATGCGTGTAAACTTTACACGCATTAGGTTAGTGAGATTTGCCATGATAACACGGAAGTTAGTTAACATTTTTTACAGTGTAGTAGACGGGGATCGATTGGCACCGCCACTGACCGGCCACGAGCCACGCTGCAGCCTTTGCAGGCCGGCAAGGCAATGGACAGTGGTCACTGGACAGTAGTCAGGGCTCAATGGACAGTGGTCACTGGACACTGGACAGCAGCCAGGGTTCAATGGATATTGGTCAGTATAAAACGGTCGGTGGTCGGTGGCGAATGCTGGCCAGTGAACCATGACTCAGTGGTCAAAGGACAATGATCACTGGTCAGCCAACGGTCAGCAGTCACTGGTCAGTGATTAGTAGTCAGTGACTCATTGGTCAGTAGTCAGCAGTCAGCGGTCACTGATCAATGGCTCATTGGCTAAGTCAACAGCTACTACTGGACAGTGGTCACTGCAAGACGGCCAGCTTGGATGATCACTGAGGATGATCATGAACAATAAGTTCACAAGCAATGCTCGCCATAGTCAGGAAATCGTTACCAGCTGTTGTGTGAGCATTCACATGTCAGCTAACCATGCCTATAAATTCCACAGACGAGCGGCAGCTCCCATGGGAATTCAGTGAAGGAAGGTCGGCCGTGCCCTCGGGCGCTGAATGCGGTCTAATCATGGGTCCATTGACACATCAGCCTATGTTGCAGCTTCACGGCTTGCTGGAGACGATGGGTGCTTTACGGCAGACGCCGGATCGCACGGACGAACAAGACCAGAGAGAAACTGGTGGACCAACGAACCAGAGAGGAACGGACAGACCGACAGACCATGAGGAGGAACAGACAGACCAACGGACCATGGGACGAGCGGACGGAGCAACAGGCCATGGGAAGGAACGGGTGGACTATCGGACCGGAAAGGAAATGGTGGACCTATTAACGGGAGACAAGAGAGGAACGAACATACCACTAGACCATACCAGAGAGGAACGGGTGGACATCGGATCAGAGACGAACGGGTGTACCAATGGACCACCGCTCGTCCTGACCTCGGCCCTGACCTCCTTCCCGCCCCAGGGAGGGGACGGGGTGGGCACGAGGTGATACGTCACTCCCAACGTCCCCGCTGCCACTGTGATTGAGCTACCATTTCGGCAGAGGGCTGTTGGGCTGATTTGGTTCCTTTGTTGACCCCTGACCGATGGGTCGGCCAGTCGGTGGGCGCTGTCGCTGGCAGCGTCTGTTCGTCCACCGGAGGGGGAAGGGGGGGGGGGGGGTCCTTTCTCACGTCGGTCGTTTGGTCCACGTCGGTGGACGGGGAACTAATGACCCACGGCCCAATGTCCAAAGGGTCGTGGGGGAAAATGGCACGCCGTGCACGGCCGCCAGGGCTGACCTTTCCGTTTTTACCAGTCCAGTTGTTTGAAGGCATTAGCTGTAATCCGATTATATCTGAACTTGAAACCTTAATTGGAGGCCTTATCGGCAAATGCAGGCGGCGATAAAATGCAATGTGATATAAATATTTTAAAGTAAAATATTTGTAGTGTAATTAAAATGAGTGAGTACGAAAAGGAATGAGTGAGAGAGCTACTAGAAAAGTGAGAGGAGAGAGCAAGCAAGAGAACGGGAGTGGGATATAGATTACAGGCCTTCGGAGTATAAAAAGACAGACCAACCGATAGACCGACCTCCCAATCGACGGACAACCAGACAGACCGACCGAAGACCGACAGACCAACTGGCCGGCCGTAGACCGACCGACCGACCGATCGACCGACAGACCAACCGACCGACCGACAGACCGACACACACAATCACAAACTCGCTCTCACAGACTCTCACCGCTATTGTCCATGGCGGGCAGGTTTCGGCCGTGTTTGAGGTAGACGTCCACCACGAAGAACTCGTGCTGCCGCAGCGCTGCATGCTGGGCAGAGTCCTGCGGCGAACGCAAACACAACGGTCAGGTCAGCGGTCTCCGTCGTTCCAACTACGACCCGACACGGGACGGTATTTTAACGGTGGTGTAAGCAAACAACACACGGCATGTGGCAGAGAACGCGACTGCGGCGTTAAGCCGTACGGCGCAGGAATCAGTTGGGAGATAAAGTCGAGGAGCTCGATACGGTTATCCAAGGGAGAAAGACCAACAAGTGGTTCAGGAAACACGATAGCACAGGTAGCTTAATATCACGGAATATATAGTCTACGACATATAGTCTGTCGTAGACTATATATTCCGTGTTAATACGTACTTGCTATTATAGTTTCTATGTTTCAAACGAATTGCCAATAATGATGATCAAAGTCAACAACACAGGCTCAACACAGCAATTAGTGGCTTGCCTAGCACGGATATATCACATTCAACAACAGCATTTACTGCACAAGAAAAGTCACACACTATAGGAAGTAGGAACACACAAAAAAGACGACAGATCAAGATCATCAGTGCAAATCTCGCATTGCTTTCTGGGACCTCTCGTAAAAATCATGTATCATTCCGCACCCAAAATCAATAATGCCCAGCCAACAGGCAGTGACAACAAAAACCAGTTTTCCTCTAGTGGCTAGGATAAGATTTTTAAGCCGTACACAAATGTCTAATCAAATCAACACGCCAGGCCTTCGTCGGGCAGTTTAGAGTAGATATCGATCCCTGCCGCATAGCGAATTCGGGGGCCACGCTGTCAAGGCCACTAACGCTATGTGTCTCATTCGCTCTCCTTCGCGTGTGTCCCCTTAGGACCTCTCCTCGCACTGTGTCAGATGTGCAGCCTGGCGTGCAGGGTCGTTGCGAGGTGAGTGCAAGGTTGATGAGAGCCACAGTCCAGCCCAAGGCCAAGGGCGGAGTGGCGAGCCGCCACGGCAAATGCAGTCACTGTATGTGATATGCTGCGGTCAGCCACCACCATGCGAAGGGTAAAACTGAGAACATAGCTTTATGTCTGTTTGCTAGGTGCGGCACGAACACCGATGATTTCCAACCGGTAACTGGTTCAGCCACACCAAAACAATGCCAGAACCACGCCCAACCGATGCCACAGCCACGCCCAACCGATGCCACAGCCACGCCCAACCGATGCCACAGCCACGCCCAACCGATGCCACAGCCACGCCCAGCCGATGGCACAGCCACGCCCAGCCGATGGCACAGCCACGCCCAGCCGATGGCACAGCCACGCCCAACCGATGCCACAGCCACGCCCAGCCGATGGCACAGCCACGCCCAGCCGATGGCACAGCCACGCCCAGCCGATGGCACAGCCACGCCCAACCGATGCCACAGCCACGCCCAGCCGATGGCACAGCCACGCCCAGCCGATGGCACAGCCACGCCCAGCCGATGGCACAGCCACGCCCAGCCACATGGTCCGGTCATGGAGAGGTTGGCAAGGTTGGGCCAAGCTAAACGATGGTAGCCACGCCCGCTAAACAATAATTCAGCGACGCCAAGATTTATTATCCAGACAATGTCCGCATTTATGGTCACTGCATTTGTCCGTTTAATCCCGGCTATAATTGTCCGTTTCCACCGACCGCTGCTATTGTCAGTTTCCATCAACTGTTGCCATCGCCTGCTCCTTTGGGCTGCTCTCCAGTCTGCTGCAGGACTGTGCAGTTTCAGAATGGCTGGTCTGTTTAGATATACGGACCGCCGCGATGGTCGGGTGGGGGTAGGGGTGGGGCGTTACCCCGGGTAGGTGAGCTGGGTCGCACGGCAGCCTACCCCTGCTCCCAGTTCCCCCTCGCCCAGGGCTAGCCATCACAGGAAGTCGGTACGAGGGGCGGCGGTCTATTTCTGGTGGAGGGGAGGGGTCAGTGATGACAGAACGCCACCAGACGTTCTTTGGGGCCGAGCACGCAACGTCAATCACGCCGCCACGAGCAGCGAGGCATGAATGCTGAGAGCAGAGAAACATTCATGGAATTTACATATTGTGCTGTTAGGTGCGCTTTGACCTACCAAGTGTTGAGATGTAAGAGTCGAGAGAGGACCGAAGCCTGTATCGGATCGCTATGCGCGTGCATTTGCGCGAAAAGGAAATTGGATTAGGCAATGGACATGTTGAGCTTCAGGTGAATTGGAGATAATACGCGTCAAAGCGTCTGACGAAAGCAATGAAACGGGATAGCAGCGAGTTGAGTTCCGACCTGCGAGTCTTAGCTGTTGGGAGCCTGTGATAATACAAACAGTGGACTCAATAGCTACATCGGAATCTGCAGGCATCAGTTCGGCGCTGGTGACCTGACTCACGCCACGATAACAGGCGTCCATTCTGACAGACCTTGGTTAGTTCTGAAGGATCAAACAGACGGTCGAGAGCGGACCCAGCATAGCAAATACGTGCCGGGAACTGATGACAGCCTGGCCAACAGCGGCCGTGGAATGGACGGTATGGACATTGAACGGGTCAATGCCGGGACCGTGAACGAACCAAAACGAACCGTGAAATGAGACCACCTCCGAGACCACACGGACCAAACTCAAATACCATGGGCGCAGTCCATCTCCACTGGCTAACAAACGGTGGACTGTCAGACCCTGTGACAAAAGAGGTTGAGGGCAGACGGATGGTGACAGAATGAAAGACAAACGGACTACAGGGGTGAGAGACGGCTCTGTGCCGGGGCACGAAACAGGCACGAGTGAGGTCCATTTGCCGATCCCAGCCGTCAAAGAGACGTGTGTGAAGATAGCAACGTATTCAGCGACGGATTTAGAAGTCCCTGAAAACTTGTAATCAGGTCAAGTAGGACATGCTGATCCCAAAAACTGACATAAAACATATTTTCAAGGTCATCTTCAATGTCAAATTTGAGGTCAAAGGACGAGGTGCCCAAAAACATCCCGAATTATTGCCCCAAGAGGAGAGGACCGAAAGTGATCATACATGATAGCGAAAGTGATGTACATGATAGCTCGTCACCGTGGGCAGCCTCCGTGAGTATGATTTTCAAGGTCAAATTTAAGGTCAAATGACGGGGTACCGGATAACGTCTCGAATTTATGGAAGGAGCGGGCTAAAAACGGTCACAAACGACGGCCAGCCTCATTGGCTAGCCTCCGCCACCCTGACCTTGGCTCTAGCCCTTGAACTTCAAGGTCAAACACAAGGTCAAAGATAGGCATCATTTTCCAAAGAAGGAGTCGGGCAAAATGTGAAGAAGTTGATCTGCCACGTTTCAAACAACCATTCCAGCGGATGCTTGTCCGCTTGGGCTACATTCTATTCTCTTGACCTTGACCCTAATGTTTGACCTTAGAGGTCAAACTCCAGGTCAAAAGACGGGATACCCAAAAACGTCCCGAATTATTACCCCAAGAGGACCGTAAGTGGTCATACATGATAGCTCGTCACCATGGGCAGCCTCCGTGACCATGACCTTAACCTTGACCTTTGAACTTCAAGGTCATATTTGAGGTCAAACGACGGGGTACCCGATGACGTCTCGAATGCATGGAAAGAGCGGCTAAAACGGTCCCAAAAGCCTCGTTGGCTAGCCTCCGCTACCCTGACTTTGGCTCTAGCCCTTGACCTTCAAGGTCAAACACAAGGTCAAAGACAGGCATCATTTCCCAAAGAAGGAGTAGGACGAAATGTGAAGAAGTTGATCTGCCACGTCTCAAACAACCATTCCAGTGGATGCTAGTCGTCTTAGGCTACATTTTATTGATCCTAATGTTTGAAATATTGAAACCTTTAATCATTGTAAGAAACTTTAAAACTGTGTAAGAATTTGCCTCCGATAGGAAATTGCCGTAAGAATGGCGATTTGTCGGCAAGGTGTGTGGGGAAAATATGTCCAGTAAGAAAAGTAACTATTTTGTAAGAAAATGTCCGCTTTGGAAAACGTCCGCAAGGCCAAGAATATGACCGTTTCTAACATCACTGAATAAGGACCATCGGCGGCAGCTCAATTCACATCATACACCAGGCAGCTCTCAACTGAGGTTTATCGGCTTATTTTCACATGCGGCCGCCAAGTACGCTAAGTGAAAACGCCTTTTAATCAGAAGCCTGCCTGACGAGAGATAGTTACCTTCCTGCACCGCTTGGCAACATCGATTAAACCCTATATCTAGTCGTTTCCAAAGTTGACAATTTTGCTTGGTGCAGTATGTCTCAATTGGCATATTAGTGATGCGTCATTCTACGCCATCGTTCGGCGCTGTACTAAAACACCTTTTCAAGTGCATTAATCGCCATCACTGCAACGGACAATTGGAGAGATAACTTAAACGTCAGAAAAGCTGGTCAACTAGGGCACTGCCGTCAGGGGCGTAGCCAAGGGGCCATGACCCCCCCCCCTTTGGAGCTCAAAGGGGCCCCCATCGTGCCAGGCCAGGGGCCCTATTCCATAGGGACCCCTGGCTGACACAGTGGGCCATTGGCGACGCAAATGCCCCTGCGACAGATCTTTTAATGCAGCTGCGTAGCCACAATTTGGCCAAGGGAGCCCCAATTTTAGAGCCTCGGGGCTCTTTTGAGACCAGGGGGTCCAGCGGTGTGTGCGCAAAGTCAAGGTGTAACTATCATGCATATTTTAACCGCAGGTTGTTTGAAAAGATTTAATGCAGCTGCGTAGCCACAATTTGGCCAAGGGAGCCCCAATTTTAGAGCCTCGGGGCTCTTTTGAGACCAGGGGGTCCAGCGGTGTGTGCGCAAAGTCAAGGTGTAACTATCATGCATAACCGCAGGTTGTTTGAAAAGACAAACACTATTCGTTAGAATTGTGTTTTTCTATTGAAAAACAACCGGAGCGGTCCTTCTCCGGGCTATGTTTGCAAAGTTGGCCTGAGATTGGGGCAACTTGGTCGCAGCCTAGAGTTTTGCGTTTAGGATCGTAAAAATTTCAGGGTATAGACTTTTGCAGGTGATCTACCTGATGGTACCGGTCGCTACTCGCAACAAAAATCATTGCGCGTGCCACGTG